CGCAGGTGACCACTGACCTCAGCGTACTTACATTACTACTAACCAGAACTCCTAACTCTTTCTCATAATCAGAGTAATTAAGATATACGTTATTTTGTTTATAAGTGTCAGATGGAACTTTGCACTTGTCAGTATTAAACTCCATCTGCCACTTCTCCGACCATTGCATCAATCTATTCAGATCTTGCTGTAGCACTCTAGTGTCCTCGTCAGAATTAATTCGACGATCTATTTTGGTGTCGTCGGCAAACTTGCTTATGTAGCTATTTATTCTCAATGTCGTTTCTATAAATTGTGAACAACAAATGGGTCAACCCTGACCCCTGTGGAGCACCGCATGTGACATGTACCCACTTTGGAATTTCCCCACTTACGCAAACTCACTGTTGTATACCTCTCAGTCACGACTCTAAGAAAAAAAAATTCTCCTGTTCCGTGTGCCTTTACTTTCCTCAACAACCTCCGACGTGGAATGCTATCAAAAGCCTTACTGAAATCCATATAAGCAATACCATATTCATTACCATGATCTACCTCCTCAAATGCTTAGTGAAAAAAAAGTTAGTAAATTCGTAAGGCAGGAAAGCCCCTTTGTAAAACTGTGTTGAGATTCCTTAATCAATTTATGTTTTTCAAGGCAGCCTCGAATAGCCTCGGTAAATACTGACTCTGAGGTTAGGCTTATTGCTCTATAATTCGAAGCCAAGTACTAAACTTCGTACCACAGTTTGCGTGCGGCCAGTAGTAACAACCTGTATGATCAGACCCTCATGCATCACGAGGCCTGTTCTCAGACCGGGCCTTGGGGGTGTTGACCCCCAGGTATACTCTTCGTCACTGTGGTTTTCTGCTTTCCCTACTTTGCATTTTTTTAGGTACTAACATTATTTCTCATTCTCCTATTGTTTCCTCCTGTTGATATCCCTGAAGGGGGACTTATAAGCGGTTTCCTAATTTTTTTCCTCCAGCCTTTCTATTTCCATTCATAATTCTAGAACTCCTCTTCCTATTGGATTCAAATTTTGAAAATCTGTGAAAGGTAACGTGGACCAGATTTTAGGAACACTTGGCATGTGCAGGTGCACAGAGTTGCTGCCACATTCCCGTCATCTAGGAATGGTTCACAGACCTTCCTAAACTTCCAGCAGAGTACCTTGAAATATTTATTTAAAAAAGTTTTATCCTAATTTAAGGAAGGCAAAGAAGAAAATTCAAGTTAGGAAGGTTCAGTTTGACGATGTAGGTGTCAAATTCAGCAAAAGTTTGCTTCCCATTCAATCATGATCAAAATATATGTGTTGACCTAATGTGAATGTTTTCAGTATTTAAAATGGCTGATGTATCTTACTGCCAGGACAGTTCTCATTCACTTTAGTATGCAAGCAAATTTGTCAATGCAAGAAATATATTTTAAAATTCCGAATTATTGGAATCTTAATCAAACTGAATTCTTTACAAACTTAAAAGTCAATATTTTTCTTAGTCTTCCAAAGAATTCCAAAACTAATACAACTGCAAAACAATAAGTATTTAACACTAGTGTCTTAATAGTTTTTAAAATACCTAAGTTGAATGAACCTTTATATACTACACAGCATTATGACACAGCCATCCATCTGTTAGCTGCAGTTTCCTCATATCAATATCTAAAGTTTAGGTTCTAAACTTAAGGACTAACTTTTTCCACTTGTTACTGGTTTCAATCCCTGGTCATCAATTACCAGGTGAAGGTTCTAAGAACAGTTGATATATGCAGGTGATCTCTGCTCAGTTTTGTGTAGCCAATTGTGGCAAACAATGAATCCCTTGTTAATAATTTAGAAATTTCAGAGGAACTGGGTGCTAGCGACCACAAATCAATTACATTTAGCATTGAATGGAAGTACGATAGTAGCGATAACTCAGTAACAGTCCCAGATTTTCGCTTAGCAGATTACGATGGGCTTAAAGAACACTTATCATCTGTTGACTGGGGTAACGAAGAGAGCTATCAATATGACAGTTTTCTGAACACTATACATGCTGCTCAAAGAGCGTTTATCCCATATAAAGAAATTAGATCAAATAGAAATGACCCAAAATGGATGAATAATAGGCTCAAATATCTACTAGGGCATAAGAAAGGAATTTATAGGCGTATCAAAAGAGGTGAGGGTCATCTTATGAATCAGTATATTGACATTAAGAGGGACATTAAAAAGGGGATAAGAAAAGCTAAAAGGGACTATGAAATTAAAGTTGCTAGGGATTCTAAAACTAACCCAAAAAGTTTTTTCCAGGTCTATAGAACAAAAGTTAGAGATAAGATAGGTCCCCTTAAAAATAACTATGGGCACCTTACTGACAATGAGAATGAAATGTGCTTGATTTTAAATAATTATTTTCTCTCAGTTTTTACACAGGAAGACACTAACAATATTCCAGTAATTAATTTTTACAGTGGGCTAGAAGAAGATAAATTATGTAACATCACAGTCACTAGTGAGATGGTTGTGAGGCAGATAGACAGACTGAAGCAAAATAAGTCGCCGGGTCCTGATGAGGTTTTTTCAAGGGTTCTTAAGGAATGCAAAATGGAACTCTGTGAACCATTAACTAATATTTTTAATTTATCTCTTCAAACAGGTGTAGTGTCTGATATGTGGAAGATGGCTAATGTAACTCCTATTTTTAAAACAGGGGACAAGTCGTTACCGTCAAATTACCGCCCAATAAGCCTGACCTCAATTGTAGGCAAATTACTAGAGTCAATTATAGCTGAGATTATAAGAAGCCATCTCGATAAGCATAGCTTGATTAATGATACTCAGCATGGATTCACAAGAGGCCGGTCTTGTCTAACTAATTTATTAACTTTCTTCAGTAAAGCTTTTGAGGCTGTTGACCACAATAAAGAATTTGATATTATTTACTTAGATTTTAGTAAGGCTTTTGATAGAGTTCCGCACCATAGACTGTTAAAGAAAGTGGCAGCCCATGGCATTGGGGGAAAAGTGCTCTCGTGGATCGAGTCATGGCTCACTGACAGGAAGCAGAGAGTGTCCATAAATGGGGTTAAATCCGAGTGGGGATCTGTAACAAGTGGCGTTCCACAGGGATCAGTCTTGGGCCCGTTGTTGTTTATAATATATATCAATGATCTTGATGAGGGAATTACTAGTGATATGAGCAAATTCGCCGATGACACAAAGATAGGTAGGATAATTGATTCAAACGTAGATGTTAGGGAACTTCAGGAGGACTTAAACAAACTCTATTCTTGGTCAGAAAAGTGGCAGATGCAGTTCAATGTAGATAAGTGCAAGGTTCTGAAGCTTGGGAGTGCCCATAACCCTAGTACTTATAAATTAAATGATGTAGAACTTAGCCATACAGATTGCGAAAAGGACTTGGGGGTTATGGTGAGCAGCAACCTTAAACCAAGACAGCAATGCCTAAGCGTACGTAATAAGGCAAATAGATTACTGGGATTTATATCAAGAAGTGTAAGCAACAGAAGTCCAGAGGTCATACTGCAGCTTTATACATCATTAGTAAGGCCTCACCTTGATTATGCAGCTCAGTTCTGGTCTCCGTATTACAAAATGGACATAAATTCGTTAGAAAACATTCAGCGTAGGATGACTAAATTAATACATAGCATCAGAAAATCTTCCTTATGAAGAAAGATTGAAGACTCTTAAGTTACATTCACTTGTTAGACGAAGAATGAGGGGAGAACCTGATCGAAGTGTATAAGTGGAAGATAGGTATTAATAAAGGGGATATTAATAAGGTCTTGAGGATGTCTCTCCAAGAGAGAACCCGCAGTAATGGATTTAAATTAGATAAGTTTAGATTTAGAAAGGACATAGGAAAGTATTGGTTTGGAAATAGGGTAGTTGATGAGTGGAACAGTCTACCTAGTTGGGTTATTGAGGCTAGGACTTTGGGTAGTTTCAAATCTAGGTTGGATAAGTACATGAGTGGGAAGGGTTGGATTTGAGTGGGACTTTCACATCAGAGCTTATTTCTTGGGTAGCATTGAAAATTGGGTTGGGTAAATGTTTTGTTAGTGGGATGAATTGTAAAGGACCTGCCTAGTATGGGCCAGCAGGCCTCCTGCAGTGTTCCTCCTTTCTTATGTTCTTATGTAAAACTGATTTCCATTCGAGAGCTTTAAAGATCCTTATTTATTCGGCATCCCAATTCCAGTTATTACCTAGAGATTCAAGATTCACTTATTACACTTATGATGTCCTATTCAATACCTTCTCAAATTCGTTTACCAATCCTCGTAACTTCTCTACAAAAAGCACCTTTGACAACTCTCTCTTTGTATATAATTCTGTATATTTTAATCATTGACCTGTCCCCAACACCATAGCATTCACTACTATTACATCTACAGATATATTAAATAACGATGATGACATCCCATAACTCTCTTAGAGGCTTTCTTTTAATGGAAAATAATCTACCTTTCTCCTGCATTCCCTAACCTGTGTCTCACTATGTACCTCTGTAATCTTTTGACTACCGTCCACAGGATGGGTATGGGGTGCATAATAAAGATATTTAACAAACTCACTATCCTCATTAAAACTTTTAACTGCTCTAAGTAACCTACCAGCTATTCCATATACTTGCAACATTTGCTACATGGATCCCTCTATCCACTCTATTATGTCATTTCTAAATCCATGAACGCAGCTAAAACTTTCTTACCTTTATGTAAACACTGTTCAATGACATGCTGTTCCACAGCTCACAACAACATGAAGGTGGTGATCATTCTTTCTGTACCATTGTTCCACAGCTCACAACAACATGAAGGTGATCATTCTTTCTGTACCATTGTTTCACAGCTCACAACAACATGAAGGTGGTGATCATTATTTCTGTACCATTGTTCCACAGCTCACAACAACATGAAGGTGATCATTCTTTCTGTACCATTGTTCCACAGCTCACAACAACATGAAGGTGGTGATCATTATTTCTGTACCATTGTTCCACAGCTCACAACAACGTGAAGGTGTTCATTACACACTGTGGTCTCCTCGGCACGCAGGAATCTATATACCATGCCACGCCACTCCTCGGTTTGCCGATATTTGCTGACCAAAACAGAAACAGCATGTTTATTAGGAACTCTGGAGTGGGAGACTTTCTGCTGTGGGAGGAACTCACAGAGGACGTGATTGTCAACGCTGTTAATGACATTATTAACAACCCAAAGTTAGTTATTGATTGATCGTTTATGCTGAAAATACCAGACTTAATTAGATTTGCTACATTAATTCCTAAATATTAAGCCTATGGAAACATAAACACATATGCAGTTTAATGTGATCCTTTATTGACAACGTTTCTCCCACACAGTGGGCTTTTTCAAGTCACAAACAGATCTGTTTGTGACTTGAAAAAGCCCACTGTGTGGGCGAAACGTTGTCAATAAAGGATCACATTAAACTGCATATGTGTTTATGTTTCCATAGTGTCGGTATTTTATACCATTTATTTTCAAATATTAAGCCTGTTTGGAATTTCCTTCTGTAAAAATATTCACCCTAATACTTAATGAGATTTATTCATGCCTCATTAGGTTCTGCATGCATGAAAAAAAATTCTAAAATTTAATTTATTTTCTCTGTTTACCAGGTATAAAGACAACATTCTGAGGAAGTCGAAGTTGATGCGGGATCAGCCTGTATCGCCCACGGAACTGGCAGTGTTCTGGACGGAGTACGTCATCCGTCACAAAGGTGCGCCTCAGCTGAGGTCACCAGCGGCACAGCTCTCCTGGGTGGAGTTCCTCATGCTGGACGTGATCTTCCTCCTCCACCTGACTGTGTTCTTCCTCTACTTCATAACACGTCGCATCCTCAGAGTTATCTATGCTAAAATATTCAGCGCCAACGACAGTATTAAAAAGAAGAGGGAATAAGAATCATTTGTCACAATTCAACTAAGATTTGAACCTTTATTAATCACTGCATTTTCCATGTGATTCACAAAATCTCAAACCAATTAATATTATAATTGGAAAATTACTAGGCAATTCTGTTGTTCACAACTAAACTGAAAATAATGCAGTCATTATGATTTTGAAAATATAAAGAAAAAATAATTTAATCATGCAAGAAATCAATAATTATTTCTACAGTTTTAAATAAAGGTGAACTTTTGCCTTATGTAAACTGTTACGAAAATTTTTAGCACATCTGTTTGAAATGACCAAATTCGTTGATGATATTATTATTATTATTAAAGATTAGTCGGTATTCTCCCGGCCTGGGCCTTTTCCAAGTGGTGGCCCGGCCTTGGCTCCCTCTTTAGGGAGTGTCTGAGACCTAAGTCTCCCATGGGAGGAGGCACAAGTACCTCCTCATCTTTGGGACCAACTGTCCCCAGGCCTAGCCACAAGCTAGGCCTCTCTGGTCTGCCATCCCCGCCCCAAGGGGGCAAATGAAAATGACAGTCTTATGAGCTACAAGCTCTGGCTCAGGCACCTACCCTACCCTAGAAGGGTTAGGCATGGTGTCGATCTGATGATAACACCTCTGTACATGATATAATAAAAAATTAGTGTAATAATTCAATTTCTGGACGATTATATTATTTTTTATAATGATATTCATAAAAAAGTAACTTGGAAAATGTCAGTTATGTAAAACTAATTAATATGGAAAAAATATAAACGACAAAAAGTAATATTATTAATTTGTAAAAATAATATTAAAATAAGCAATGGATTTTTTACAACAGCAGTTGTCTCCCACCTTGGTAGGGAGACCCAAGAAAATAACATACCCCTTCATGTTGTCATAGTCGTGGCAGTAAGAGAATGTGAGCAAACTCGACAGTAAGAAACAAATGATTGCTAAAGTTATGAATGAAAAGAAGTTGGATATCCTGGCCCTAAGTGAAACAAAGCTGAAGGGGGTAGGGGAGTTTCAGTGGAAGATGGGGAGGAATAAATGGATTAAGTCAGGAGTACCTGAGGGAGTTAGAGCTAAGGAAGGGGTAGCAATAATGTTGAAGGACCAGTTATGGGGGAAGAAGAGGGGATCTAAATGTATAAATTCAAGGATTATGTGGATTAAAATAAGGTCGAATGTGAAAAGCTGGTCATAATAAGTGTGTATGCACCAGGAGAAGAGTGTAGAGGAGAGAGAGAGATTTTAGAAGATGTAAAGCGAGTGTGTAGGAGCTTTTGAGCCAAGTGAGAGAGTAATTGTGGTAGGGGACCTAAATGCTAAAGTATGAGAAGCGTTAAGAGAGGGTGTGGTAGGTAAGTTTGAGGTGCCAGGTGTAAATGATAATGGGGAGCACTTCATTGAACTTTGTATAGAAAGGTGCACATATTTTAAGAAAAAAGAGGATAAATAAGTATACAAGATATGATATAGGGCGTAATGACAGTAGTTTGTTGGACTATGAATGGGTTGATAAAAGACTGTTGGGTAGACTTCAGGATGTACATGTTTATAGAGGGGCCACTGATATATCAGATCACTTTTTAATTGTAGCTACACTGAGAGTATAAGGTAGATGATATGCAAGGAAAATGAAAGAAGCAAGTTAGAGAGAGGTGAAGATTTATAAACTAAAGAAGGAGGCAGTTAAGGTAAGATATAAACTGTTGGAGGACAGATGGGCTAGTGAGAATACAGGCAATGAAGTAGAAGAAGTATGGGGTAAGTTTAAGAATACAGTGTTAGAGAGTTCAGCAGAAGTTTGTGGTTACAGGAAAGTGGGTGCGGGAGGGAAGAAGAGCAATTAATGGGATGATGATGTAAACAGAGCAGTAAGAGATAGCATATGAGAGGATTTTTCAAAATAGAAGTGATGCAAGTATATTGAGAGAAAAAGAGAGGTTAAAAGAGTGGTGAAGCAATGTAAAAAGAGAGTGAATGAGAGAGTGGGTGAGATGTTATCAACAAATATTGTTGAAAATAAGAACAAGTTTTGAAGTGAGATTAACAAGTTAAGGAAGCCTAGAGAACAAATGGATTTGTCAGTTAAAAATAGGAGAGGAGAGTTGTTAAACGGAGAGTTAGGTGTATTGGGAAGATGGCGGTAACATTTTGAGGAATTGTTAAATGTTGATGAAGGTAGGGAAGCTGTGATTTCGTGTATAGGGCAAGGAGGAATAACATCTCATAGAAGTGTGGAATAACCAGTTGATAGTGTGTGGAAGTGTATGAGGCAGTGGGAAGAATGAAATGGGGTAAAGCAGCTGGGATTGATGGAATAAAGATAGAAATGCTAAAAGCAGGAGGGGATATTGTTTTGGAGTGGTTAGTGGTAAAGTGTATGGTAGAGCTATTATTGAAATAATTAAGAGTAAGACGGAGAGCAGGAGAGCAGATGAACAAGGAGGCTTTTGGAAGGGTAGGGGGTGTGTGGACCAAGTGTTTGCAGTGAAACATATAGGTGAACAGTATTTAGATACGGGTAAAGAGGTTTTTCTGGAATTTAAGAATTTGGGAAAGGTGTTTGATAGGGTGGATAGGAGGGCAATGTGGCAGATGTTTCTGATGTATGGAATAGGAGGTAGGTTATTGAAAGCAGTGAAGAGTCTTTACAAGGATAGTGAGGCTCGGGTTAGAGTATGCAGGCAAGAAGAAGATTATTTCCCAGTAAAAGTAGGCCTAGACAGAGATGCGTGATGTCACCATTTTTGTTCAATATCTTTATAGATGGAGTTGTAAGAGAAGTGAATTCTTGGGTGTTGGCAATAGGTGTGGGGTTAAAAGACATATAATCTAACACAAAGTGGGAGTTGCCACAGTTGTTCTTTGCTGATGACACTGTGCTCTTGGGAGATTCAGAAGAGAAGATGCAGAGGTTGGTGGATGAGTTTGGTAGGGTATGTAAAAGAAGGAAACTAAAAGTGAATATAGGAAAGAGTAAGGTGATGAGGATAACCAACTGGATATCAGATTGGAGGGAAAGAGTATGGAGGAGGTCAATGTATTCAGATATTTGGGAGTGGACGTGTCAGCAGATGGGTCTATGGAAGATGAGGTAAATCATAGAATCGACGAGGGGGAAAAAGGTGAGCAATGCACTGAGGAGTCTATGGAGACAAAGAACTCTATCCATGAAAGCAAAGAGGGGAATGTATGAGAGTAGAGTTATACCAATGCTCTTGCATGAGCGTGAGGCATGGGTGATGAATGTTGCAACAAGGAGAAGGCTGGAGGCAGTGGAGATGTCATGTCTGAGGGCAATGTGTGGTGTGAATATAATGCAGAGAATCAATACTTTGGATATTAGGAAGAGGTGCGGGATTACCAAAACTACTATCCAGAGAGCTGAGGAGAGGTTCTTGAGATGGTTTGGACATGTAGAGAAGATGGAATGAAACAGAATGACTTCGAGAGTATATATATCTGTATTGGAGGGAAGGCGGGGTAGGGGACGGCCAGGGAAAGGGTGGAGGGAAGGGGTAAAGGAGGTTTTGTGAGTGAGGGGCTTGGACTTCCAGCAAGTGTGCGTGAGCATGTTAGATAGGAACAAATGGTCGGAGAAGTGGCAGATGCAGTTTAATATAGATAAATGCAAAGTTCTAAATGTTGGACAGGAAAATAACCATGTGACACATAAACTAAATAATGTAGATCTTAATACTACTGATTGCGAAAAGGATTTAGTTTTGGCTAGCAGTAATCTAAAACCAAGACAACAGTGCAATAGTGTTCACAATAAAGCTAACAGATGTCTTGGCTTCATATCTAGAAGTATAAATAATAGAAGTCCTCAGGTTGTTCATCAACTCTATATATCCTTGGTTAGGCCTCATTTAGACTATGCTGCTCAGTTCTGGTCACTGTATTACAGAATGGATATAAATGCTCTGGAAAACGTACAAAGGAGGATGACAAAGATGATCCCATGTATCAGAAATCTTCCCTATGAGGATAGACTGAGGGCCCTGAATCTGCACTCTTTCGAAAGGCATAGAATTAGGGGTGATATGATCGAGGTGTATAAATGGAAAACAGGAAAAATAAAGGGGATATAAATAGCGTGCTGAAAATTTCCAGCCAAGACAGGACTCGCAGCAATGGTTTCAAGTTGGAAAAATTCAGATTCAGGAAGGATATAGGAAAGCACTGGTTTGGTAATAGAGTTGTGGATGAGTGGAACAAACTCCCGAGTACAGTTATTGAGGCTAAAACATTGTGTAGTTTTAAAAATAGGTTAGATAAATACATGAGTGGGTGTGGGTGGGTGTGAGTTGGACCTGACTAGCTTCTGCTGCTAGGTCTGATGCCGTGCTCTTTCCTTAAGTGGAAGTGACCAGACTTGGTGGGTCATTGGGCTAATCGGGGGGGACATGGACCTGCTCCGCATGGGTCAGTAGGCCTGTTGCAGTGTTCCTTCTTTCTTATGTTCTTAAATGGTTTTGTAGAACTTGACGTGCTGTTGGAGTGTAAGCAAGGTAACATTTATGAAGGGATTCAGGGAAACTGGCAGGAAGGACTTGAGTCCTGGAGATGGGAAGTACAGTGTTTGCACTCTGAAGGAGGGGTGTTAATGTTGCAGTTTTATAACTGTAGTGTGAACATCCCTCTGGCAAGACAATGATGGAGTAATTGATGAATGATTTTCTTTTTCGGGCCACCCTGCCTTGGTGGGAAGCGGCCATGTTTAATAAATAAATAAATAAATATTATATATATATATATGTATATGTATATATATATAATATATATATATATATATATATATATATATATATATATATATATATATATTATATATATATATATAAATATATATATATATATATATATATATATATATATATAATATATATATATATATATATATATATATATTAAATAATATATATAAAATATATATATATATATATATTATATATATATATATATATATATATATATATATATAATATTACCTGGAGTTTACCTGGAGAGAGTTCCGGGGGTCAAGGCCCCCGCGGCCCGGTCTGTGACCAGGCCTTCTGGTGGATCAGAGCCTGATCAACCAGGCTGTTGCTGCTGGCTGCACGCAAACCAACGTACGAGCCACAGCCCGCTGGTCAGGAACCGACTTTAGGTGCTTGTCCAGTGCCAGCTTGAAGACTGCCAGGGTCTGTTGGTAATCCCCCTTATGTATGCTGGGAGCCAGTTGAACAGTCTCGGGCCCCTGACACTTATTGTATGGTCTCTTAACGTGCTAGTGACACCCCTGCTTTTCATTGGGGGATGTTGCATCGTCTGCCAAGTCTTTTGCTTTCGTAGTGAGTGATTTTCGTGTGCAAGTTCGGTACTAGTCCCTCTAGGATTTTCCAGGTGTATATAATCATGTATCTCTCCCTCCTGCGTTCCAGGGAATACAGGTTCAGGAACCTCAAGTGCTCCCAGTAATTGAGGTGTTTTATCTCCGTTATGCGCGCCGTGAAAGTTCTCTGTACATTTTCTAGGTCAGCAATTTCACCTGCCTTGAAAGGTGCTGTTAGTGTGCAGCAATATTCCAGCATAGATAGAACAAGTGACCTGAAGAGTGTCATCATGGGCTTGGCCTCCCTAGTTTTGAAGGTTCTCATTATCCATCCTGTCATTTTTCTAGCCGATGCGATTGATACAATGTTATGGTCCTTGAAGGTGAGATCCTCCGACATGATCACTCCCAGGTCTTTGACGTTGGTGTTTCGCTCTATTTTGTGGCCAGAATTTGTTTTGTACTCTGATGAAGATTTAATTTCCTCGTGTTTACCATATCTGAGTAATTGAAATTTCTCATCGTTGAACTTCATATTGTTTTCTGCAGCCCACTGAAAGATTCGGTTGATGTCCGCCTGGAGCCTTGCAGTGTCTGCAATGGAAGACACTGTCATGCAGATTCGGGTGTCATCTGCAAAGGAAGACACGGTGCTGTGGCTGACATCCTTGTCTATGTCGGATATGAGGATGAGGAACAAGATGGGAGCGAGTACTGTGCCTTGTGGAACAGAGCTTTTCACCGTAGCTGCCTCGGACTTTACTCTGTTGCCGACTACTCTCTGTGTTCTATTAGTGAGGAAATTATAGATCCATCGACCGACTTTTCTGTTATTCCTTTAGCACGCATTTTGTGCGCTATTACGCCATGGTCACACTTGTCGAAGGCTTTTGCAAAGTCTGTATATATTACATCTGCATTCTTTTTGTCTTCTAGTGCATTTAGGAGCTTGTCGTAGTGATCCAATAGTTGAGACAGACAGGAGCGACCTGTTCTAAACCATGTTGCCCTGGGTTGTGTAACTGATGGGTTTCTAGATGGGTGGTGATCTTGCTTCTTAGGACCCTTTCAAAGATTTTTATGATATGGGATGTTATTGTTATCGGTCTGTAGTTCTTTGCTGTTGCTTTACTGCCCCCTTTGTGGAGTGGGGCTATGTCTGTTGTTTTTAGTAACTGTGGGACGACCCCGTGTCCATGCTCCCTCTCCATAGGATGGAAAAGGCTCGTGATAGGGGCTTCTTGCAGTTCTTGATGAACACGGAGTTCCATGAGTCTGGCCCTGGGGAAGAGTGCATGGGCATGTCATTTATCGCTTGTTCGAAGTCATTTGGCGTCAGGATAACATCGGATAGGCTTGTGTTTACCAAATTTTGTGGCTCTCTCATAAAAAATTCATTTTGATCTTCGACTCTCAGTCTGGTTAGCGACTTGCTAAAAACTGAGTCATATTGGGACTTGAGTAGCTCACTCATTTCCTTGCTGTCATCTGTGTAGGACCCATCTTGTTTAAGTAGGGGCCCAATACTGGACGTTGTTTTCGATTTTGATTTGGCATAGGAGAAGAAATACTTTGGGTTTCTTTCGATTTCATTTATGGCTTTTAGTTCTTTTCCGCGATTCCTGACTCCTATAAGATTCCTTATATATAAATATATATATATATATATATATATATATATATATATATATATATATATATATATATATATTATATATATATATATATATATATATATATATATATATATATATATATATATTTATTTATATATATATATATATATATTTATATATATGGAGGTACCACCTCTGGAACTGTCCTAGGGACCCTCATCCTCAGAGAAAAGAATAAACTTGCTTCAAGGAAAACTCAAGGTTCTCTCTGAAGCTGTTTGAAAATTTTCTCCTACCACCCCTATATTTAATATGAATTTTATTTAAATACAAAATACATTGACAAAAATACAATAAACAGTAAAACAACATGGATAACTCAGATCTACATCTAAAATACTTTGTCCAGCTCCCTGACGGTGAGCCGCTTGCACAGAATGGTGCTGGCATTTCCCCTCTGGATAGCAACGCTGAGTCTCTGAAAGAGGAAGCTGGCTGCCCTCTGGTTCTTGGTTTATATGATGAGTTTTTAACCCAGCTCTTTGAGGAACTTTAGAGCACACTTGCCTCATGCTCCAAGGGTCTCTGACCCTATTGGGATGAAGTTGGAGCTTTCATATTTGCGGATCTTCTGGGTCTCCCTGTAGCTGGCAGCTCCACCCCCTTCAGCTACGGAGTATGGCAAGTAGGTGTCTGCCAATGTGGCAGCACAGGTGTAGTCCCAGGCAATCTGCTTTCCATTTTTCCAAGGTAGCATAGTGGATCCATCAGGATGCTTTTGACTTCCATCAGACCTCTGCACTTGGGGTTCCCGTTGGGCTGGGCAACGGGCTGTGGCGAGGCTTCCTTTTATGTTGTTGACCTCCTCATGTCTGGCTCACATCCCTTCTGATGTGTGACACACGAGACCATGAAGTCTTTATTGATCAGCCATTGCCATGCCGCAAATACACCTATGCTCGGTGAGGATGGGGGCGGTAGGCAAAGAGCAACACCAATCCGAATGGCCTGTGGGTCGAGTCGAGTGCCCAGGGAGGAATTGGGAACAGCTAAAAGGAAATCTCCTGGGTATGGTGCCTTCACTGCCAGGAGACGAGCTTTGTCCTTTCCTGAGGCATTGGTGAGCATTGTGTTGGCGATTTTTTCCATGATCGGTTTCTCCCAGTGGGACTGTTTGTGTTCTTTGGGAGGAGCTGGTCTACTGGAGGAGTCTGCAAGGGTGTCCCACCACATGGCTGCTTCAGTAAACCTGGGGTCTTGAGCTCTTACCGCGTCTCTCAAGCGTTCGGGGACAATCTTCTTGACTAAACCACTGGAAACCAAACACGAAGACAGAAATGCAGGCAAGCTACCTGCATTGCTCTGCGCACCCTTATACCTCCCAGTCACACTGGGAGAGTTGCCTGATCCCATTGCTGATCCTCTAGTGACGGGTTCAGTGCCTTCTTAAGTTAAAGGTTGATCTCAAGTGTGTGTTATATTCGTCGAGTGTTGGGTTGTTAAAAGACGGTGCGTACCTCAGGAAGCA